CGTCTGGAATATTAGCCGTATGTGTCTGAGGCTGGCTGAGTATCCCTCGAGGGATTAGTGTTGAGCCCAGCTACCTCTAGAACCTAACATCGGGCACATACAAAGGAGTCTGGCAGCATCTTTATTGTGGTCCTTAAAATGGTCAGAGACATGCTGCACAGAAGAGCATGTATGTGAGAATAATGCAAGAATGACTTTTGTAGGCTGCACATAGTTTCTTTCTAAAACAAAATGTATAGTTTTTTAGCAGAGTTATAATCTCACTCATGATATTCCTGTTTTTATAACGTATAGCGAGACATTAGTCTGAAACACTTATCTTTTATCTCCTGGGTCAGTGTGCAAATAGGAAATGTCATATTTTCCACATGTGCTCCTAAATTTGTAGACATGTTATCCAGTACATGATTAAACAGTTAAACAAGTTATGTTGTTCTAATAAACAGCAAATTGCATCAATAAGATTTCCAACAGACAGAATTTTCATAGCAGACATATGTTCCCAGTTGTGCTGCACAAAGAAATAGGCAGCAGTGAGGACTTGTTAGCTACGAAAACAGAATGTACCACAAGCTGGGCTTGCCTTGGAAACTGAAAGATGGTCTGCTGTGCCTTCAGCTCAGAACTATATTCATCTACAATCTGGAAAAGTGTGGTCAGAGGTGGTCCTTAATAGTAGACTTGCAGCCAAAAGGGCATTTGTCCAATGTGGAAACAAATCCAGGAAGCTCACCAATGCACAAACATGACCACCAGGGTGCAGAAAAATGGCAGCAGGTGCTCTGAGCTGATGGAGCTCAGAGCAGAGCCGCTGCTCCTTCACATTAAAAGGAACCATGTCAGAATATGTCCTGGACAACAGGGCCTTACTGGGCACGTCCAACTGCTAAGATAGTCCCAGAACAGGCTGCAGATTTATGTCCATCACAGCTTACCATCAGGGAGGTGTCTGCTTGATCCCAGATTCATAATGCTGCTGACACAGAGCCCAAATGTAAAGCCAGATTCTTAAAGATTCAGCAGCAAGGAGAGCAAGGAGTCCTATAACAGATGGTATGGCCCCCACAGAGCCCTGAACTCACCATCGTAGAGTCAGTCTGAGATTACATGAACAGACAGAAGACTGAATTCACTGAAGAGCTGTGGAAACTTGGCAACAAGTACCTAAAACTGTGTGCAAGTCTACTGAGACAAGAAAGGTAAAATGTCGCCACACCTATTATTCATTTGGTTACAGTATTGTTTTGTTTGCTGCATCAAAACTATTCATGGCAATATTTGAAAGCATCCTCACTTTATAGCATTTTTTTTTTAGCAATTACTTAAATCTCTTGCACAGCTCTGTATATGCTTTCCTTTTTGGAGCAGTCTAGTTAACGAGCAGCAGATGCGTCACTTCATATGAATATTGTACAGACAGCATCTTAGGTGTAAACTGTCAGAGCGGGCTAGACGGAGTTTGTTGTTTACTCAACCACCTCGTGTCTATAAATAGAGGAGTTTGTGTTTTGTATGTTCCCAGAAGAGTTTAATCCTAACACAACTCAAAACAGATACGATGAGAAAAGACGTCTTTACTGATCAGCTTCAATTTTGTCTAATAGAAAGTTGGATGTTTGGGGAGCTGCGTTTACTGGGTCACTCGGCAAAACGGTGATGAAGCAGTAGTTCATTACGGAGGCTGTAGAAAACGATCTGCTATTCTGATGGATTAAAAGTTTGTAATTTCACAAAACAAAAAACGACAAACAATTTCTTTTTTGTTTTTTTGCTTCTCAGATATGAGGATTTATTGCTTTTCCTTGTGTTGCTTAAATGAGATATTTTGGGATTTTAGACTGTTGGTTGAACCTATCACGCAAACGCAACTGAAAATCTTTTGGACTATTTGTTGGCCAAAACAAGCCATGTAATGATAATTGGTATGTCTCATAATCTTTTTACCTCTACAGGATAAAGTGGGTATAGAAAATTGATTTAATACTACTGTATATAGTTATAAGACATAAAACAAACATATTTCTTTCTAATTAACAAGTGAAAACAGTTTGTTGCAGCATTTTATTGTCGCATATTTCAAGATAAAAGGCTTTGATAATACAAATGACTATTTAGACAAACTGTATATGATTTTTTTTGGCTTTAAAATCATCTCTATCTGGACTCTGCGTTGAAACAGTGGGTTTAAAATTTTGTAATCCAGAGGCCCAGGAAGTCGTCATTAAGAGGTTAAGTCTGTGGCATTGAGCAGCAGGTACCAGACTACCATCTGGCTGACTGTTCAGCAAGATTGCATACATGAAACTGCTCATTACATAATCATATGCACAATGTTAATCACTGTTGTGTACATGTTGTGATCCAGTTCACTGAGTAACAGAACTGTAATTATTCCAGTTCTGTAGCTGCTCTGCTGCCCAAAATAGTCATCTAGAAATTAGTCTTTCTGGCTCCTTCCAGCCAGAAGAATAAAAAGGTGAAATCCACAAAAGGATGGCATCTGTCTCCTTTCCTTTCCCCCACCTTTTTTTTTTTTTTTTTTAAACACGACAATAGAAGATGATCACCCTCATTTACAATTCCACATTTTTTCTACTTTGTACAGAGATTCTCCCAGTGGGATTTTGTGCACTATGTTTGTTCTTCTTACAGCAGATATTTCTGTGGAAGTAGGATAAAATAAAAACAGTTTTTTTCTGGCTGGTAAAATCTGCAACCCTCGAAACAGTGAGGAGCCTGGGCAGACATCGTGCTAAATATGGACAGTTTTCAAACTTCAAAAGCAAACATCAGAGGATCTGAAATGCCTCAGTCATGAAAGCAGTAGGCCTATTTATACAGATGATGAATGTGGAGTATATCGGCCTTATGTCCGCTAGCAGACACCAAAATGATTACATTGTCTTAAATTATTCCTGAATATTAATGGATCTTTGTTGTTTCCTGTCTTCAAGCATCTCAGTACAAGACGACACCTTTTAGAGTAATCGCACCCCTCAGTCATTTTCCTCATCTTCTGCTTTTTTTATCCGGTCGTGCGCAGTGACCGTTTTATTCCCAGTGTGCTTCTGAGGCAGGCAGATTGGTGCTCCTTTGTTTCCATCAGTCTTCATACTGCGTGTCGCCTCGCTGGTAGGTCTCTTTGCCTGGAGTCTCAGCTCTCCCGTTTATCTGAAGTGAGGAGCTTGGAGACGTGATCAAACGTGTCACTGCTGCTGATCTAAGGACATGGCCACCCCCTCCCACACCCTCCACCAACATCCTCTCCCCGTCACTACCCCCACCCAAATACATTCACACACCACCACCACCACCAATCCCCTGAAGGTTTACTGAGCAACTGAACTGACACCGGCAAGCTCTCTCAATCTTTTCATGTCTGCCTTACTTTGAGTCTTCAGCAGCTCTCCAATTAAACTGTGCCTGACGCCCAGGTTGACGTGAATAACTAATGTATTCAGCTGCTCCTCATTCGGTGTCCAGCTACCGCTTTCTGTGGCTGAAAAGGAGGCACGAAGACAAAGTCAAGGGCTAGTTGCTTGCAGTTAACATCCACCCAAGGTTGCTATAATTATAAAGACTATAGCCAGAAGCATGGTCTCCAGCTGCTCTGATCTGGATGAATCCACATGCTCACAGTGGCAAACAAATGCCAGCCAATGGCCAATGGTACCCCATTCATCCTCTCCCCTGGGCTCTGGAAAGGGGCGAGCCAGCTCCTCAATTAAATATAACCCTACATCAAACAGCCTGTCAACATGCATTAGTGGTCCTTTGTATAGATAAGAGGCCAAAATAAATTGCCAGAACTATCATAGTGACTGTGGCTCCCGTAGGCTTTTTATGATTTATTCTTAGGGGAGAACAAATCCTGACTTGCATACTGATATTCTCTCCGTTACATCTTATATTCTTCTCGCTGAATTTATCCTTTGCAAAGATTTATTTTACTCTTTTCTGTGAATTGTTTCTTCTGCATGTTTAGCTTTTTCATTAGCTGGATATCCAGCCGTGCCGTGCGCCTTGTCTCGTTGGTGCATTGTAGGAGAGATCTAATGTGACAACAGCCGACCTTGATGTGTGTGTGCTATCACAGCGGAACCTATCCTTTTTCTGTCACCCGCATTAGCTTTGGCAGCTCCTTTTATCGCCTTCTTTTCCCTCCCCCTTTTTTTCTCCCCCTTTGCCTATATTTTGCATCTCTGCAGACTGACAGTGAAAATAGGTCATTAGTTAGATGGAGAATACGAGATGGAAGCAGGCAGGGGTGAGATTTGCGAGAAAACTGCTATGCAATATTAATGATGCTGTGAAGTAGCAAACCTGCACTGTGACTTTACTCAAGACAAGTCTCCTGCCTCGGGTATGGCTAAGGAGCTCAGATATCCGCAGGGAGAGAGTATATATATACACAGTATGTCACAAAAGTGAGTCCATTTTCACTTAGGGGTGTACTCACTTTTTTTGCCAGCGGTTTAGACATTAATGGCTGTGTATTGAGTTATTTAGAGGGGACAGTAAATTTACACTGTTATACAAGCTGTACACTGACTACTTTACACTGTAGCAAAGTGTCATTTCTTCAGTGTTGTCCTGTGAAAAGATAGAAGAAAATATTTGCAGAAATGTATTTGACATACGGTATATACATATATGCATGCAGTAGTCAGTGTTGTGCATGGGTATAATAGGAATACTCTGACTTGTCAGTGCAGATGTTCTGTTGGAAAAACTCTCATCACGCACAGAATTCTTGTGCAGTATCCATACTTGAGCAGAATAATTGTTCAAAGTGTCTTGATTACTTTTCAAACCTGCGTCGGTGATGGTTCACCCCACACGTTTTTACGGAGTGTCATTCTGTCGACTTGCTGCCAGTCAGATTGTGTGGCCGCAACAACCCCGTGTGTAAATATTTTTAACTTCTAGTAACACTGAGTGTTTGTGTAGCTGTGATTTTTCGCAGGGCTTGTGTAACGCGCATGTGTTTGTGTGTCCAGAGCCACAGGAGCAGGGGGGATGAACCGCGAGGAGGCCCCGGGGAAGTCTCCTGAAGACATGTACATCCAACAGAAAGTGCGGGTCCTGCTCATGCTAAAGAAAATGGGATCAAATGTAAGTTCAATCTCTTGATTAACATTTAACATAAACATCTTACACATTTTTTTAAATTGCCAAAGCAAAGTTGTTTTTTTCCACTTCTTATTGCACATGTCACACACAATTATTGTTTGTATGATCAGGAAACACACAAATCTTAAGCTCCTGAAATGTGCCCCCAGTAAACCTTGTCAGCTTGGTCATTAACACCGGAAACCCTCATTACAGTCCCAAAATGGTTAAGATGGGTGCTTCTAGAAACAGATGGAGAGAAGCTTTATAGGCGTACATTTCCTGTGTGCATAAGACTGACCTGTCATCACCATGAAAGGATGTCATTTATGTCAGTTTCAATGCAAGGTGGACATTGTTTGAGATGTTTTTGTTATGCCAACTTGACATTAACCTTGAGGTTGTGTGACTCGAGGTTTGGGGACCAGCACAAATTGTACCACTGCAGTTCAAGTCAAGGAAAATATTAATATCAAAATAATTAAAATGCATATGTGTAATGGCAGCCAATGTCAAAACTGACAAGAGTTTAATGTTATGTAAAGATAACACATCATGCTAAGTAGTTTCTTTAAAGTGTTAATTGGGCCTCCTATTTCATGTTTATGTTGTCAGCGTGAAGCTGTGATACCAAAGACATCTCAAACAACGCCAACTCTGCATTAAAAAAAAGACATAACTGAGTGAATGACACCTAACGACAACGAGTCATAGTTATAATAGCTCCTTCATGTTGTGACAGGTGTCATGTCAGGTTTATGCACACGCCTTCAAGTGAAATGTTTCCAAAGCTGCCGTCAGTATCAGCTGCTGTGAGTGTAATCATCTGTGTACTGAGAAGGTAAAGTCTCAGCTCATAACCTAAGAATTGTTTTCTATTCTCAAGAGGAGACAACATTAGAAATGAGTCTCCTCTCAGTGACTAAAAGGTTGACACTTATTGTACAGACTGCAGTAGAACTTTCTAAATGAGTAGAACAGATAAATATTCCCATGATTCTAAAATATCTAAAGAGGTGTACACCAAAACAACTTTAACTAATTAATGTTGAAACGGAAAATATTTTGGATCCAATATGTCTCATGCCTGCCTCTGGGAGAATTATTTTGGTTTTTGATTCTCTTATTATCATAATAAAGGTTTGACTTTGTGTTTGAGAACAAAATTTTGTTGCCTTTCTACTTGATTTCTAATTTTGAAAACCACTTTGTGTACTCTTCTTCAGCTTACACCAAGTGAAGAGGCTTTTCTCCGGAATTACGCAGGTGTGGTCCACAGTCAGATGAGCCAACTCCCACAGCACAACATAGACCAGGGTAAGGCTGTGACGCACACACCCACACACACACACACACACACACACACACACAAATTCAAAGTACAGTAGTCTAACCAACCAGTGTTATTGTTATTCTTGGGAATTATTTGTTTTTATTGGAAAGTGGTTCTGAATGTGCTTTTATTTTGAAATTCTGATTACGTTGCTTTTCAATGCAGGGTGATAGTTGTAACTATCAAACAACATAGTTGTAATTTTTGTGTTTTGGAGTGCAAATAGAGAGTGTTTATAGCAACAATACGAAACAGCATTGGCCCGTAAACACCCCCCTCACAGGTCGCAGAGGTGCTACTGTGCATGGAACGAAACAAGGGAAAATCCCTGCACACACATCACTCCCTTCGAGCCTGTACCCCGGCACACCAGAGCGGTTCCCTGACTGCGCACTGAGGCCGACTCAGCGGCCCACCAGCACCGCGAGATTACTCACACAGCAAACAGCAACAGTGGCTGACTGGAAACAAATGACTCATCCTCAGCATGAGCGCATCTCTAGTTTCACCGCTGCTTCTCAAAATTGGCAGAGACAGGGAACATTGCGGTGTTTACATTATAGAACAAATCACCGTTCACGCATGTTGTTATAGCACCTCGTTTGATGGATAATGTGGCGTGACATGTGATGTTTGAGCTGTTTCTCGACACCAGAGGGTGCTGTTGAGCTTTTCTGATCGACTCCACAGCTGTTACACGTTTAAACCAGGAGAGGGTGCTGCACTAAATGGAATACTGCATGTGGAGAGGCACTGCAGTCACCTGAGAAAGCAGCAGCAGCAAACTGTTTTTCTTCTAACTCGACTTATCAGCTGCTTTCCAGGCTCAGTCTAAAACACGGCTGTCAGGTAGGAGCCCCCGCTGTCCTCCTGTGGTAAACCTGCTGGGGCTCAGGCCCAGCTTTGCCCCGTGTGATATCGGTCCCTCAGGGGAGCTTTAAGTCAGAAAAATTGCCTGTGACGTTTCACCCACAGTGAGGTGTTGGATGTCCTTGTCTGTGTCCTTTCTCTGCAAGGAAACAATCAGTGTTGCTCGAATTTAGAAACACCCCATCTTTCTGTGTTGGACAAGGATTAGGTTGTGATTATATAAGATGCTGAGGATGCAACTTAAAGGTGCAATGACTTTGTCTTTTTGTCCTTCTCCAGTGTTTTTTTTTTTTTATCACCTCTGTACTGAACTACATGATCACATTTTGTTCAATTCTGCCTCAGTCTGCAGTGTCGGGACGCACCATTAAAATTTTAATGTGGGTCATTGCATCACAGACAGTGTGGTTTTCATTATTAACACCGTCTCCTCATGAAGCAGCAGAATATAAAGCATTGCATCAGATAAGACGGATCATCATCGCCGCGCGGCACCCACATCTGAGATCAGCGCTGATTTGAAGTCACTAATTTCTAACAGACGTTTTCAGTCTGTTTAAAATAATTTACAGAGTAGCTGTCAGTTTGTGCTGCATGCGCTCGTTCTCTCCTGCTTCGTGCCCTTTAGTAGCTACAGAACTCTTTGCTTTGTCAATACAGCTAAAAGGAGCGTCATTAATTATGGAACAATATGACTGGCGAGCGGTGCTCCAAGTATGCATTATACATCACAAAAACAGACACATTTAGTGTCGTTTGGCAGCTCGCCACTTCCTCAGTGTGCCAATAAATTATTAGTGGTCTGCATCTTGTCTTAGGTATTGTGATTAGGTATCATGGAGATGGCTGAGAATTAATTGGTTTTAAATATTCAATGGTGCACTGAAGGACAGCAGTTTGGAGGTATCAGCAGCACACTTGGGATCCTTCAAGGCGGTGTGAAGATGTTTAGCTTCACGATGAGGGAACTCCACTATTTGATCTCATTTAGACTTGGTAATGGGGTTTAAAAAAACTAGATGAAAGGAAATATTTTATGGCCCAGCAGCAAGTCACTGTACCTTTAAAAATTAATTCATAGAAACAGACTTCAAACAACAATGTGGCACATTTTAAAGGACAGTTTTGATTTGGGTCAATAAATAAATAAATACCAAAAAAAGTCCCCAATATTTAAATTTTTAGAGCAATTTCTGCTCAGCCAGCTCTAATTTTCCTGAAATCTTTCCGGCACAGAATACGGATATCTGTAAAGATATTTGTGAAATACTGTCTGGATATCAAATACGCTCTAATTTTCTGTGTATTTTTTAAAATTTAATTGACGACCCACTTTAGGCATGTTTCTTTGCATATTGAAATTTGACACTATGTCTGAACAACAAAATCTCACAAACTACTAAAGATAAAATCCTGAAATTCTCGATGTCTTTTTTTATTAAGCCATTGATTCAGAATCTGAAATATTACACAAGTGATCAAATAATCTCCAGTTGTAGGTCAGAATGAAAGTGAAAAGTCCCATCACAGAGCACATGTTAACGAAAAAACTGATCATGTTAACTGGTGATATTTTCTGAACAATATGTTGTTGCATGATACAAGAATACGAAACAAAAAAACAGAATACTTTTTTTTTTTTTATCATGAAACACTTCCAAAAAAATCCAAGTTATTTTCATTTACCTTTCATAACTGATTGAGCAGGTACGACAAGTTGTATCACGAAAACAAAAATATTGATAGATAACTTGATTCAAATAGAGGAGGAGAAATCTTTTTGACTACAAGGCATGTAATGATGTTTTTAGTCATTTCAGGTATTATATATTCAGCTCTGATAGTTCCTTAGATATTGTTGTTGTTAAACATAACCAAAACATTTTATGTGCTAAAAATATAATGGAAGTGGGTCGAAAAAAGAGAATATTTCACAAGTTCATAATTTTTCAATCTAAAATCTCACAAATAGGATTTTAACTGTCCATGTTTTTGATTTTAAAAAGTTTCTAGCAGATCAGAGATACACGAGCTGATTTGATGTAAAATCAATCCATACATTTTGAGGAAAGTATTCACATTGGATTGTGTTTCAGTTGTTGTGCTGCTAGACTAATTTCTGCTTTTGGTTCACAAGAATCTATTTTCAAAGATGACAGGTTTGATTGATTCTTTTTTGATGTCTGGAGGGGAGCTTAAACGGATAAGAATGTAAGCTGGGCGTACATAAGCGTGGCTTCTGTCTGAACCTGTTCAGTCGCCACTTTATACACAGGCTTTTGATTTAGATTGTTTATACTGTTAATACTAACTGTACTGCGTGTTATGACTGAAAATAAATAATGTAAACCAAGTTTGCAACATCGTTGCCACAAGGGTGTGGAGATGAATCGTGCATTACTCTCGGTGTTTCACCCTGTTCTCACCTTATTGTAATGGCATCGTGCTGCATGCAGCAGCGGCACCGTCTGTCCCAGCTGACCATCACAAAGCAGCCACATGGAGGCCTCCTGTGTCTGGCCAGCAGTTTTCCAGGCAGAGGCTGTTTGTCTGTTTCTGATCTTATATCATTAATGTACCTACTTACAGGAGTTCCATCTTCCAGACTTCGTTTCAGTCTGGTTGATCTGCAGCAGACACTGAGCGTGTAGCTTTAGTTAATAAGTGTTTTTTCTTCAGTGTAGTATTGAGAACTTAATGACATCATCCTGTAAGGAAAAGCGATTCTTGATTTCCCTCTTTCATGGTCTGCTGTACATTTGAAAGACACACTCCTACTTTGCAACTGGCTGTTTTAATGAGTAATGAATTATAGTGAATGACTCACTCTTTGCTTGTTGAATAATATAATTGTACCTGCTACCTTTAAGGTTTACAGAATGCCAGACTACAGTACACATTCAACCTTTTCCAATTGGACCAGCGCTAAAGCTGTTAGCACTAGAGAGGCTCACAGAGGTCAGATGGGTCCAGCCAAAGAGATTTTTCCCTCTCGAGTGAGAAACTTCACCCGTTCAGCCACAGCAGTTTGAAACGGAGCGTAGATTGAACATGCTGATGCAGGAGGCTCTGATATCAGCTTCCTCAAGGAGTTTGGGCATCGAGCGATCGCGTCACGTGTCCGGCGTGGTCTCACTGATTGAGTGGCGGCATGCTTAGAGGGCGCTGAGGGCACGATGGCGTAGCGGAGGCACACTCAGATATTGATTGCTCTTAAGTCATGGCCGGGCTGTATGCAGGAAGTGTTAAATAGAAGTGTAAGTGCGAAAACGCAGAAATGCTAATGTGACAAATGTTTAAGCTGGTTGCTGTTGTCAGGGAGTTTGTAGGTGTTGCAGTCTAAGCAGAAATGTTGTCATCCTTCATCACATCTGATCAGACCGATTGAAATTATTGCTCAAACCCTGAATCATTCCCTCAGACTCTGATTAACTGTCAAATGCTATTCTGTTTTTTTCTGTGCGCCAAACAAGAGAAAGCAAACTCACAGCGGTTACAACTCATATTTCTTGTAAGTCTACGGGTCACTTAATTTGCATTTCAGATAGTTTTAATTGGCTGATTACCATACATGCAAATACAGAATTTTGTTTTGCAATTTTAATCAGGCCAGCGCTGGATTCTCTGCCAAAGGCGCTGGAGCTGAGTTTGTTTTTTTATTTTTTATTTTTTTTTAATTCATCTTTCTTCATGTGAATGCCTTAATTTTGGCGATGCAGAGGAACGGAGGACAAGCAGGACTTTGTGTGTGATATTTAAACACGGCTATCATGTTTGGAAATGAAGTGTGAACTCATTAAGTGAGGCTTCTGTTTTGGCACCCGTTTTTAGTGTTAATTAAGACTTTTTGGCTAATATTGAATAATGTCTTTGTCTTTTTAAAGTGAGTTAAGGAGGCTTTCCTGGCTAAAGCAAAAACATGGGAAATACAGAGGTTTCATCCTTGAACACAGGCTGTTATTCCTCCCGTTTAACGCTTTTATTCACCACGTTGTGCAACTGTCACTTTAAACAATATAGTTTGTCTGAGTCACTCATGAAGCCGGCAGTCTCAGGACTTGTTATCCTGTCTGATTTGATGAGGAAAGTTTACTCCTCCCAGAAGGGCCTCAAC